AGGAAGACACACCTCAGAGCATATTGTATTCCTTAGCAGGGTCTGACAACAGGAGGCAGGAGGGAGAGAAGGAGGAGCCTGAGAAACATAAGTCAAGTACATAGGCACAGGGTCATTAAAAGACTGAGACCTGGGCTGGGGTTGTAGCTCAGTGGTGGAATGCTTGCCTCACATGCCTGAGGCCCTGGATTTGATACTCAGCACCACATAAAAATAAATAAAGATATTGTGTCCATCTACAACTAAGAAAAAAAAAAAAAGACTGAGACCTAAAACACAAGACTATAATATGCACCCATAATACTAAAAGCGCATCTACAACAGTTCTTTGTATCTAGTACATCAAATCATGCTACCAAGAAAAATTACAAGTCATATTGAAATATGAAATCAAACACAGCTGGAAAAGACAAATTGAAGACAATCTGAAGCATTAGAACCAGACTCAGATATGGCCGGGATGTTAAAAACAGCTTTAATTGATATGCTAAGGGATGAAGTAAAAAGCATGCAAGCTCAGATGGGCAATGTAAGCAGAGAGATGGAAATCCTAGGAAAGAACCAAAAGAAAGAAATGCTACAGATCAAAAACACTAACAAAGGGCTGGGGCTGGGGCTGGGGCTCAACAGTAGTGCACTTGCCTGGCATATGGGAGGCACTGGGCTCATTCTCAGCACCATGTACAAATAAATAAAGGTCTATCAACAACTAAAAACTATATTTAAAAAAAAAACACTAACAACCAGGCATGGTGGTGAACACCTATAGTCCCAGCACTCGAGAGGCTTAGGTGGAAGAATCACTTGAGTCCAGGCATTGAAGAACAGCCTGAGCAATGTAGTAAGACCTCCATCTGGGGGAAGGAGCACTGTCACACAGTGAAGAATGCCTCTGAAAGCTGGGGTTGGTGGCTCACACCTGAAATCTCAGCAACTCAGGAGGCTGAAGCAGAAGGATCACAAGTCTGAGGCCAATCTCAGCAATTTAGCAAGGCCCTAAGCAACTAAACAAGACCTTGTCTCAAAATAAAAAGGTTTGAAAAATCAAAGATAAAGAAAAAATCCTGAAGGAAGCCAGAAAGAATAAATCTTACCCTTAAAAAACAAAAGTAAGCA